CCATCAGCCCAGAGCCTGACGCGGGGCTTGAACTCACGGACCGCGAGATCGTGACCTGGCTGAAGTTGGACGCTTAACCGACTGCGCCACCCAGGCGCCCCCCATACTGGTTCTTTGTTGGTTTTGGATGAGGTATAAACAGATCCAGTCAGCCTACTCTGGTCCCTTTTAGACTTCAGACTTTCTTAGAGCCAAGATGTTAATTTTTCTCCCTTATGTTTTATTATGAAAGTTTTCAAATGTTCAGCAAACTTGAAAATATTTTACTGTGAAATTCGAATATTTTCCACCTAGATTCTAACAGTAACATTTTTATTTTGCTTGTTTTATTACAAGCATCTATTTAGCCCTTTATCCACCTACTAATACATCTTAATTTTTGATATATTCATTGGTGAAAGTAATCGTAGACATTGATATATTTTCCTTTAAGTGCTTCAGCATTCATATCATTAGCAAGAGTTCAATATTTTTTACAATTTTTTCTTTTGAGATAAATTGTATATATAAAAAATGCACAAATCTTTAGTATCCATTTGCTGGCTTTTGACAAGTGAATACCCTTATATAATTCAAACCCTATCAAGTTGTAAAACATTGTCATCATCCCTGTAAATTCCCTTATGCCCTCTACCAGTCAATTCCTGCCCTGACCCTTGGAGGCCAGGGCTGGCTGTTCTGTTTTGTTTTTTTGTTTTGTTGTTTTTCCCTATCATATTTTGAAGATATCAGCTTATACTGGTTAGGGTCGTTAATGAACCCTTAAATAATCTTTGTATAGTATCTGTTCTTCTCATGATTCAAATAAAAACTCTACTTCTAAAATGAAAAATCAACCAAAACTTGAAAGAAAGAACTTGGTACAGTGTCTTCTTCATAATGGATTTCCCTGGTTAGGGCCTAGTGTTGTGTTATCTAACTCACATTTCCACAGGGTGCACCAGATACAGAATAAAAGTAGGATCAGGGTCACAAGTTCACTTTAACAGAAACAAAACAAACAGTATTTCTGTGGTATTACCTCCTCTCTATTTTCCCCCCACTACCTAGGTCACTCCAAGGTCATTCTGGCCTCTTCTTACCAGTGCTTTGAAGAAGTCTCCATGCATGTTGTATATAATCTTGCTGAATTGACCAAAATCATAGCTCTGTGAACACTAGGTTTTTACCCTTACTTGGGTTAAACTGGTACTCCTAAAGTCTCTGCTAACCTAAAGATGTATTTCCCAGGAGCATGCTTGGCCTTTTTAAGAATAGACCTTCAGTGGCCAAATCCCACTTGTTTTCTAGATATGTATACTCAGACACGTCTGAATTTTCTGTGGGTTCATAGCTTAGCTTCATCCTTGGTGTCTGTTGCTATAATTACAGATGACATTTTTGAAAACTAAACCACTGATAAGGACCACACCTTTATTCTAGCTGTTACTCCAATACAGTGGAAAGAACTTTTTATGTTGGCCTTTAGCTTTCATACATTCCTTTTCATATATTAAAGTGAAGATTTTAATACATTAAACATTAACACATGCAGACTACCTTCTGTACCTTGAATTTGGACTCTTCTACACCATCTTCTCATCAATGATTTAGAAACAGTGCAGCCAAAAATTTAGCTTCACCTATCTTCTTGGCTGTACCCAAGTAGCAGTGTTTGTTTAATTCTTTGATATCCTACTATATTTTATCCTTATTTGAAAAATGAATTCACAATAGAAAAATGAATGGGCTGGTTAAGAAACTGGGGCCTAAATATCTTAATACATTTAGGACAAAGACTAAAATCATTGAATGAGTTGAAAGGACTGACTTGTCAATCTCAGCCAAAGGTTTGTTAGATTTGAAGGGATTTGTATGTTGAGGTATATTTTTTAAAAAAGAAAGAACATATGTGGGACACTTTAGAAATACACCACCAAAGATTGAGTTTAAAAGGTAAGCATAGCATTTTTTAGCTCTTTAAGAAGAAAACCCAATGTTAAAATAGTTAATCATAATGTTATTTTCCTATTTATCAAAATTAATAATGAAAACATACTATCTGATTATTTATCCAGTGTGGATTTATCCCAATACACTATAATATCCCTAGGCTTTTTTTTCTCCTTCTTTTAACTACTCTTTCATGAGAACCTAGAAAAATGACTAGCATTTACATGGGTTCAATAAATGTGTTGAAAGAATTAACAAATTTGTGTGAATATTCCTATAGAAAAGCTACAGGGCTATTAGGTTGAAAGATATGCACATTTAAAATATTGATAGGTGCAGCCAAATTGCTCTCCAAGGGGCATAAATTCCATTCTTGGGGTAGTAGGAAAATCTAAAAAGGATGTAGATTTATTATTCTCATGTGGAGAAATTAATATGCTTTAAAAAATCCTGTATTGTTGTTTAAAATGTTCAGGTAGAGAAGTATGGTGTATTGAGAAACTTTTAAAATTTTGAAGTTGTTGCTTATAGGTTGGTAGTGTGGTTATGCAGAGGTAACAAAAAACTGAAACTTGCATGTGTAGATGTTGGCCAGGTGTAGTGTAGGAAATGTATTTTAGATAGAGGGAAGAGCAAGTGCAAATACATGATATACAAACAAATATCCAAATATTCAACAATTGAGATGAGATTAAGTATATACATCCATAACTTGAATGATAATGTGGAGAAATTTATAAATGAGGTGGTTCTGTAGGTATTGACACTAAAGGATACTTTTTAATTTAAGGAGAAACACAGGTGATAAGCAGTTGTTTTGAAACAAATACTGTGTGTGTTTGTGTGTGTAACCACACACGTTTGTTTCTGTCCTCACAGAGATAAAGTATCTGGGAGGTTACAAACCAAATTGTTAACTATGTTATTCCTGGGGAAGTGAGTGGGTTGAAGTTGTGATACAGAGATTTTTTATTTAGTATACTTAGGTATTAATTGAGTTTTTTAAACAGCCAAACTGTATACATTTTGTAGTGAACTGTTTTTTAAAGAAAAAGAATGTGTTATGTGGAAACCTGGTGGGCTGTTCCTAAAATACATTTGTTAATAAATGTGCAGGAAGCATTAGGACATTTCTTGTAGCAATTCTTTACTAATCTTTCACAAAATAGGCTAGGTTAGATTAGTGATTTTTTGGCATTTTTAAAGCCATGGAGTCTATTGTTTGAACTCAATCCTAGGCAGAATTCTTGTATGTGAAAATGATAAAATCAGAGTCAGTTGGTGGAACCTGAGAGTGAGGGGCCTCTGTCAGTGTTCCCCTCCCCTTATAATCTTTTGACAGACCCTAGGGCTTGCTGAACACAGTTTGAAATACACTGTTCTCTTCCCGGGATGCTTTTGATTTAGTCCTTCCTGAAGGTCAGAGGGATATACCAGCTCTGTGATTCTAAAGCACAGAGAATAAAGAATGCCTACAGGTAACCCCAGAATTCTCTCTTGCCTTGCAGAAAACACGTTTAGAGCAGGAGATATTCATGTCATGTAAGATAGTTCCAGATGTACAATAAGAGACAGTTTTTATTTTGCATTTCTTGGCTTTGGAGTCTTATAATCTTCTTAAAAATCCAAGCTTTATGATCTATGCCCTTTTTATATCCACAAAGTGACGAGAACAGTTGTTAAACTAACAAATATAGCTTCCATACATGTCTGACTTCTTTGCCAATGTTAAACATAATGAAAGAAACAACTTTAAAAAGGAAGATATTATTTTGTATTTGTCTAAGAATATCCCTCTTTCAGGTCCAAGCAACTGAACAAAGAAATTAAAAAGCATAATTAGTATTTAATAGTGAAATTTAAACCAACTTTTGAAAGAATTATTCTTCTTTTGGGATGCGTACATAATTTTATATTTAGTGTTTCATGCCTAACATTTGATTTCTGGGCTTAGTATTAGAAGCAACATTTCTTAATGGCATATATCATTATGCTAGTTTGTTAATAAAAGTTATTTTGATCTAAACATGCTAGTGTGTTTAAAATAATAGAGAAGCATATTGTCATAGTTTATTCACATAGACCCAAGTTTTTGTTCTGTGCTTTAAATGGTTTTATTTACTTTTATTTAAAATTTGTGCATGTACGTATGACTATATAGTAGAGGAAAAGAAAACAGCCATAATATAGAAGATGAAAAAAATCTCTTTTCCCCACAAGGTGGTACTGTGGTTCTTTTACTCTTGCAAAAATCTAAGCACAGAATTGATATTTCTGTACTTGTCTTCCTTCCCCCAACATTTTACAGGTGATCTACAATTAGATTCTAATAAAAATGAGAAATAATTTCAAAGGAAATTTGATACTTTTAAGTTTGAGGTAAATGGCAAGCAACTAAAAATTCTCTAGCCTTCTAATAAGAGTTTCCCCTCCTAACTTTTTGCTTCTTTTTAAAAAGTTCATGTACAAATTTTGGTTATAGTTTATGGTATTTTATGTACACTCTTTATACTATATATACTATGATAGTGTAGTAGCAGTTTTTGCTATTATAAAAAGTATTAGCAGACATCTTTAAAATGTTTCAATTAATGAGCATAAATGCAACTCCTCATTTTTAGGCAATTCGATTTTCTCCCTCTTCTAAGCAATATCAATAAAGAACTTCCCTCAGTTCTATAAGTAAAAATTACAGAACATGGCTTAAAAAAAGACAAAACACATGAGTAGATATTGTGTTATTTCTTTTTACACTGTATCTTTCAGCTTATTTGAAGATTAAAAACTATGTTCTTATATAAATATGGAACATCATATATGTTTGTTTTTCTCTGTAGTAAGAAATCAAGGCAAGTCATTGCATGATTGGGTTCCAGCCTCAACTTCCTGGTTCTGCCCCCTGGTAGCTTGTGACATTTGTTGAGACCTTGCATAGATTTCTGGGCCTGGCAGAGGGGACATGATGACAGAGGTGACACAGCGGCCCTTGCCCTCAGGGCAGCGGTGGTCTCAGGGGTCCTGCATAAAAATTAAGTGGGGTGAGAGCAAGTGTGTCTTGAGACTGCATTCACAGAGTAAGCAGAGCTCTTCCTAGACTGCCCGATTATTTTGGGGTGGCCCGGGGAGCGGGCTGATGGAGATTATGCGGATATGCCATGGGAATCCCAGAGTCTAGGAAGTGGAAACAAATCTTTGATGAATTTGTTGGCTACAATAATGAACATGGGAAGAAAAGAAAGGAGAAAAGGTATTCTACGAGAGATTGGGGAGACAAAACCAAGGGGAAAAAACAGGATCAAAAATGACAGTAAACGCCGGGGAAGAGAAAAGGCAGAACATAGAAAAGAAGAGCAAGAAGCGGAATTGAACGAAGACGGGGCAGGACACTAGGAGCCCGAGGCTGGGCATCCGGCCTCTCATTTCATCCCACAGGGAGCCCGCGGAGAAGGCGTCTTCGGTCCCGTTTCACGGGTTGGAAACATCGACCTTAAGAGGTTAGATAACTGCTCAAGGTCACCGAGCTAAGTAGCAGAGCCAGGATTCTCACCCCTCCTCAACCCAGATCCAGGGTCTGGCTGGATCGTGCGAGCCGCCCAGGGAAAGGGCCCGCAGGGCGGGCAGAGCGCAGGACGCGCCGGGCTGGAGTCGCAGCTCCATGAGCGTGCAGCAGAGGCGGACGGGCGGGGATCGGTCATTACCTCCCCAAGCAAGGGCGCGGCTCGGGGGCCTCTCTAGACATCCTCTCCACAGCGCGAGTCTGGGCAGAGGAGGGAGGGCGAGCGGCGCTGGGCTCGCGCAAGGGGAGAGTCACCCCATCCCTCCGCTCCCGGTCGCATCCAGCCTCTTCCTGGCTCCGCGCTGGGATCTCCCAGCCACGCCAACGCGGGGGCCTCTCTGTTCGCCTCTCCCGGCCAGCACCTCCAGACCCACACAACTCCACCAACGCGCCCTGAGGGCTGCGGGCGGGCGCTGCATGGGATGCGTGCAAAAGTTAACCATACGCCTCAGGCAGGGCTCAGAGGACAGTGTTTCCAGGCGCCTGGGCTCAAGCTTTGTGGTGGAGCGTACCTGCCAGTGAGACCAGACTCAGACACAGGGAAGCCGGGGATGTTTACTAACCTAACTGTAACTTACATGAACATACACAAGTACGTTAAGGGTAGAGATGTGTGCACCCTCACAGGAGGTAAAAACAAAACAGTCACAGGGAATAATGCCTAGTTTGTATTGTAAATCGGTGCAGTTTGGATGTTATGAGCACCCATTTGACGAATAGCTCCTGCCAATTCTTAGTGATTATTCAATGATTATTAATTGACGAGACACCTTTCACCTGCAAAATGGCTTGTCTGCATTGTCTTTCTTCTCAGAGAACTGCGAATTAAAGTTTCTTTGTTAGGGAGAACAAAGAAGAATCCAAATTATTTTAAGGAGGCTTTAGCATTTGACTTGGCAAGCCCTTTTGCTAAAAGATCAACCTTCCCTCTTTGACTCGCCCCCTCTCTGTCACAGCCTCAGTGTGGGGTTGTCTTTGCAACAAGGCTAATGCTCCCAGCTGGTTTGGGGCCCCTCTCTTTCAGAATTTAGCAGTTTAGAAGTAAGAAGAGATTTAGAAGCCTTCTACCACATACAACCTTTTACTTTCACATCGGAGGTAAAAGAGGCCTGGAGAAGTTAAGGGCATCTTGCAAGTTTGTGCCAAAGCACGGGCGACTCCCCGTCCCACCCTTGTTCCTTGGGGGTGGTGGCCACCTGCTCCCATTTCCTCCCTTCACTTGGCCCCCATCCTATGTTCATCTTCCCTCTTGGGAGCCCAGGAAAAACTCCCTTCTTGAAAGTTTGTCAAGCAGGCAATGTCTTCTTCCTTTTCATCTTAAAAATTATTTTCTTTTGCTGTCAGATTCATTCTGACATAGATCAGGGGTGGAAAAGTGTGTGGTATAGAATAGAGTCATTAGTAAATCCATCTCATTTTTTGTTTCATTTGACAGCAACACATTAAATTAATCCCTGTCCAAAAGAATCACATTAAGGGAGCTGTCAATGCTAATCCCCAGCTCATTGTTGCTACCTAGCTCAGGGTTGACTTTAATAGGTCGCGCTGACATTTGTTTCTTGAGAGGCACATCGGTGACTTCATCCAGACCCAAATCTGTTCTCATCAAAAAGTGGAGGCACTGGCAAGTTTTTACAGACTCTGAATTCTCTGGGTTTCTAGCTTGGGGTTTGGGCTCTTGTTGGAAACATTGATTTACATTTAGCTTTTAACAATGAAAAGAAGATAAGGTAGAATCCTCTTTGAGAAAAACAAAAAGCTGACTAAAAAAACCTAAAACTAGAATATTATTGTTCTTATGCTTATTTGTATCATCCTATATTAGCTACTACTGTTATCTATAGATCTGATTGTATACACGCCAGATTTAAGGTGAAAAACAAATGAGAAAAAATAAAATGTTGAGAAGAATAGACTGCATAGACTAATGAAAAGGGTAGAAGCAAGGATGAGAAAACCTGGAATATAAAAGACCTATAGAAAAGCTGGAGGGAAAAAAAGGAAATTTACTGGCAAGGAAAAGTAACATTTAAGCAATAATTTGGATAGAAAGAATTCGGGCAGTATAGAAACTAGGAAAAAATACATTACAAAAAGGGCAAAGCATTCCTTTAACCAACATTTAGAAACTATGATTATAAAATTTTTTTTTTTAAATGTTATTGCTCTGCCTCTCTATCCTCTGTTTTCCACACCTTCCCCCAACCCCTGCGCACTGATATGGATTGCCCAGCTTTGTGCTTATGACATTTATGGATTCCAGATCTGACAATCACATATTAGCCTTTGTCTGGGCAGCTAAGAAAAAGCAGAAGACTGATCCAATCTTAAATCATTTAACCTGTTCTTAAAATATGCCTCTCACCTGGTTATTCTTATTTTTATGGATATTTGGCAACGTTTTGAAGATGAAGTGGGAGCTAAAAACTGAGAAGTGGGTATCCATTATTTAACAAACATATTGAGTGAAGTGTACAAATACTACAAATTTGCTATATCCATATATGCCAGAAAATAACTATGTATATTCTATTTTTACTAATTGAATCATAGTTTATTCATATTGCAAGGTGATATTATAAATCTTTTTATTAACTGAAAACTCACCTCTACCTCAATTTTTTCCTCTGAAAATCTGTATTTTCAACTAAACATGGCACATTTAAACCTTTTACTTTCAGGATTTTTGTTATTTCACTTTTATTATAGTTTTTATTCCTTTTGCTCCCTTTATGTCCTCAGAACTACCTCTGGACATAACCATTTAAAAAATTACTTTTCTATAATCTCTGTAAAACACAAAACTATCTATTGAAGGCAATTTCATTTATTTGAATGATTGAACAACTGAGGCTAATTCTCAGAAAATGGGCTAGGGTTTTTGTGGTCCACATAATAAGACTAGTAAGGATCAGTAAGAAAAGAACTATGCATGCATTCAACAATCTCCAGACAAATGCCAGGAGTATGAGGAATAAGAACTTAGCTTCATAGTGCATCAGTGGACTAAGACCTAGTTGACATTTTAGAAATTGGTGGGTTAGAGCAGACATGAATGGAATGCTAAAACTCTAGGTACTCCAAGGCTTTGTACTCAGCACGATCTATGTCTTCTACATAGTAGGCATTCAGTGGACAATTTTTACACCAATAATGAGTGTTTGTGTAACGTGCATGGAGAAAGAATGCAGGACAGAAAGAATACAGATAGGAAACAGAAAGGAGAAGGCCAGAGGAGGTGGCAGAGTGGGACATTGTTAGTTGTCGAAGGGGGCATAATCGGTGGTGCTTTGCTGGGTTGCAATGACTGAGGAACCGGATCTGGGAATTAAAGCAGAAAGGTGAAGCCAGTAGGCAATTATGCAGTGGAGATAGGAGTACTTATCCTTTGGAAATGCATCCATATGCACTGTTCACTATATTAATGCTCAGATAAGAGCTTTACCTTCAAGGAATATGTATTTCAAAGGGAAAACATATGTTTTTGAATTTAGATAAGTTGTTATGTGTAATGATGTATCAGGAAATAACTTTCAATGATTGTGAACTTCTGTGTGCACCTCATGGTTCTGCGCAATCAGGAAGAGCTCCTCCCTTTCTACTTTGCTGAGATGCTGTAATGACAAACCATTGGTAGTGTATCCCAAGGCCACTGGTGGAGGCTGGGGTGGGACCTGGGGGATGGGAAATGTTTTAGTAGAGTGAACCCCCAGTCACTCTCTGGAGGCTAAGACCATATCCTAATCCCCCATCCCATCCACCAGTCCTCCTACTGTTGTTTTCTTTATCGGCCCGAGGGTTGGTCTGCCTGCTTTCCTTCTCCACATCTGTCTCCTATGGTTTTTGTGTGGGCTTTTCTTCATCCTGTTGTGGAATAGAGCCCCGATTCACTGCTTTTGCCCTATCACCCATCTGACCTTGAGGCAAGCACAGCATTTTTTTATTTTTGAAAAGGATTATTTTAAATAGTAATGATGGGAAAAGAGGGGATAAATAGAGGTGTGAGGGTATCCCCATTTTTCCCTTCTTTTATACAACTAGATTTTTATGGAATCAAAACATATACAGAAGGACCTAAATCAGAGAGGGCAAGCTTCAGATTTCACGTTAGTTATTTGTCACAGGAGTTGGAGTAGATGTCGGGGCAGGCACAAGGCTTCTGAAAGGATGGTGAAGATTTGCAGTGGGGGTGTGGGCGCTGCTGGCAATGTCACACCTTGGACTGGGTGGGGTAAGGACAGGGAAGAGAAAGTCAGTTCTGGGGCTTTACTCTCCAGTCAACTCTCCTCACTTGCTACTGCTTCTGAACACAGGCTCCCCAGTGCCCATCTCCCTGCCCCCTTCAAGTCTAGGACAGCAGGGAACAGCAGGGTGAGAAGTCAGACACACAGGGTTGTTTCTAAGTGTTGATAATTTTCTCTGAGCTCTTGATGGCCTCTCATTACTGACCTGTGGCACGTTTCCACAATATTGTTTTCTGGGTTAGTAGACCAAGCTACTTGGAATATAAAGAAGACCCAAGGGGAGAAAGGGATGGATAGGAACTTATATACTTTTAGTTTTTGTTCTATTGCTTCTAAGCCTTTGGAAAAGGCTGTAACTGACAACTACAACCCATTTTCAAACTTAAATTATATCTGTGCAATTTAGGTAGAAAGCCCCTGGGCCGATATGGTACCTTTTTTTCTGTGCCTGCCAGGGTACCAAGCACATTGAAGGCATTTAACAAATAATGATAATAATTTAAAGCAATGGGAGCATTGGGTGTATAGGGAGATAAGAAACTGGAAGACTAGGGCCCACTAATAATTAATAATGTCTCAGGAGGTGGTCCTACTGTTTTTGGATTTTAAATCCCCTTGTTCAATTTCTTGCTGGAGTGAATTCCACACAAAAAAGAATAATCTTTAATTTGATACTTAGTCACTTCAGTGTCCT